AGAACTGCCATAGTAACTGCCTCTAATATTACGCTGTGCTCCTCTAGAGAATGTGTATCATTTTTCAGAGTATTTTAGTTCACAGGTTTCTTGTTACTCCCTTTCTGTAGGAGATATTGAGCTTTGAGGTCTAATAAAAGACCCCTTAAACCTGGAAACCAGGCTGTCTAAATTGTCCTTTCATGGCCCATTACATTAATGGGAAAAGGAGGGAGAAAGAATCAACTGAAAATAGAACTTTTCAGAATAAATTCTGTTTGTCATATACACACTGTGGGGATAAGGAAATTGAAATTAAATGTTTATGTAGTGGCAGGAAATGTTAAAGTAGCAAGCAAATGTCATTGTAATTTTCTGCAGATTTGGCAGCTTGTTTCCTCAGAATGCACTGCAGAAAAGCATTTAAGCAAAAAAAAAAAAAAATATATATATATATATATAATTTATAATCATGAAAATTCCACATGCTGTGAGAAGCTGTGATATGACACAGCACAAAAACTGCCAGAATTTCTGAAAAAGGGGCTAAAACATCTCCTGTTACCAGACTAATGTGATTATTATATCTTACATAATATGGTGCTTGGTGTTTTACATATGCTACAGACAAAAGCACAGGTATGCTTGATGATTACTTTCCTAGAAAAGTTCCTTTTTCTCCACTCTAGGATATCACTTAGTAAACAACACTTTGAATAACCCATCAGAGATTAACAAGTGTATTCTATCCTAAATAACAATTCACAGCGTCATATCCCATGTCAGTTGAGGAATTTTCTGTTCATGAAATTAACAAGATTCTTTAAAACACAGATGTTTATTTTGAGGAAGGATTGGTCGCTAGCAACAAGAAATGGCTCAAGATTTTATACAAAACACATTAAACTTCTCTATATACTTTGTCATTAGCTGGAGTATTTTTCCTATTGACAGAAGATGAAGCATTTCTTCTGGTTATTTGTAGTGGACTATGATGGCATCTTGAACTAGAACAGGAAAAGTATATTTAGCAACAAACATTTAAAGGGAAAAAGGAAAGAAGTTAAATATCAGCATGACATACGTTCTCTTTAAAGCATATTTTACAACTCATTCTTTGCAGTGAACAATAGTTTAACCACGTCTTCAAAAAAAAAACCAACTTTTACAGAGCTCTTGTTTTAAAACTATGTAAAATATTCCTATTTTCTTACATCACTGAAAGTTGTGTGTTAAATGACTGATACTTATGAGTCTGCAATAAAATATAGCTTTAGGTAGAAACTGTAGAAAGGTTTATCAACCTGCAACAAAGAATGCCAGTGCTTTCCTGCTTCTGGGAGGAAGGTTTTTGCAGTAACATACTGCACAGTAAGTTGATGTTTTAATGACTTCGGTATTTATTTTATTTTTCTATACTAAAGCATGTATCTTTTTTTTTTCCATACTGTTTTATGAACTTCTGGCATCCATCTGTTTCAGTTCCAGATCACAGTTGTTGTCAGATTGTTTGGACAAACTGTCAAGCATTTTCTAAGTTAATGACATTTATCACTGGTTCTCCTGGGAAATTAATGTTTGTTGACCATGACTCTTCTGACATCACTGAGACAATTATTTGCAACAGTATAGTAGCTCTGTGATAAGAGCTCTTAGATATCACAAGGCTACAACTGAATCTTTCCAGTGCTCCTTTTGTAAATAATTTAAAGAAAAGTTTGAAAGGAAATGAATGGTTCCTTAGAGAGGAAATTACATGGAGGACTAAGGTTCTGTTCTGGAAAAAGTAAGCAGGATTATATGTAAATACAGTTTTACACATCTTTATGTAAAAATATTGCTCTGGTAGTGAAAACAAATGGGGAAATAGTAATGACGGCACATATGGTCACGTGAAGTATGTACAGAAGTAATGAATCTGAGGAAATTACTCGCTTGAGCAGTAACAACATTGCCTGATAGTGACCAGAAGATAATTTTCTCTGCCTTTGTATAAGGCGGAGAAAAAACAAACTATTATGCACTTTTGGTGAATGAAATGAAAAAAAAAAACAAAACAACATTCAGCAAATTTGCCATTTGGCACATACAAAATTGACAGGTATGATTTCCATCACACTAATTTATATTTCCAGTTTGCTTAAAATAATCTGTGTTTCATCTGGTTCATTTTATCTGACAAATAATTTAGGATTAATGATAAGTTCCTCTTCTTTGTATCATTTCCCATCTGCAGCGTAGGGATATGGAACTAAAGGTTCTAAGGGGGAGTGTTTCCTGGAAATACCATAACTTCTTTTCTGTATGTTTTTTATGGTCTTGAATGCCTGTGCTGGTGCTGCGGTTCATCACTAAAGTTCTCTAAGGGACTTTTCCCTTAGGTTTGGTCTGAATCCTGACTTTATTTTTCAGAGGCTCCTGCCATTAAGGACATTTCCTTTTTAAATCTCAAAACCTTTTGGTTACTGTCACTGGCTGTCCTGTTACCTATCTCCCTTCCACCAGTCCTCTGACTGTCTCTTCTAAAGCAATCAACCACTTTCACAACCCTCCTTTGAAACCTCTCCACTATTACTGTGTCTCTCTACCTTTGAGACTTAGAACCAGACATAACTGAGGAAAAAACAAAACAAAACAAAACAGAAAAGGGACAAATTTCTAGCTTGGGCAGTACCTTGTTGAAAACTTTGCTTTGGGAACTCAGTCAGGACTATAACACTTGCTACTACGTCAACACAATAAATGTTTGTCCCAGTGGCTCATGACTCCAGTGGTTTTTGAATCATCAGTGAGTAGAAAGCAGAGCTGCTCATAAATGGTGATACAGGGTAGGCTCACAGTCTGTATCTGCATCTACACTGGGAATTTTCCATCACACTTCTCTCTGATTTCTATTACATTTTGCCTATCTGGATGACCTGCCTGTGTAGTCTCTAAATTTTCTAAACAAATCTGAGATCATGAAAATGTATTGCTCCTCTGGGCTAGCAAGAGATTATAATACCTGCACATCTGCCAGATTCTGTTGCTAGTTACAAGGATGTAAAACAAGAGGTCACAGTAGACAATAGGATGATTCCAAGGTTTGTCAGTAGGAATGAGAAAAGAATTTAGTGGAGTTCACAGAGGATGAATGATTTCCTCCCTCTCACTGCAGCTGTTTCACCCTGTTTGCTCCATTTTGCTTGACTGTATACAAATTGAAGTACGAAGCTAAAAGTGATGTGCTTTCCAGGATTGTCATGTTTTTAAGTCAATAATCATTATAATCCAGATTTACTGAGGAAAAGATTTATTTTGGCTGTTTTAAGAGATGTTGGTGATGGTTTTCTAATTTGAAAAACCATAGTTATTTCTGTGAATGCTTTAACATGTAAATAATTAACTGTTTGCCTTTTTTAAAGGAGCTATTCTCTCTTCTCTATACTACTTCCTTAATTTATTATGTAAACACTGGTGTTTTGAGAACTGTTGAATCTCTGATTATGTTTGTGAGTAGACCAAGAGGAAACCGTGCAAATGTTATCAATTTGTCCAGCTGTCCTACTATATGAAACAAGTGAATTATTAATAAATCAATTAATAAATAAATAAATCAGTGCCTTAAAATGAAATTAACAAGTGGTGTGCTTGATTTTTAAACTTTTTACATATATTGAAATGAAATACAATGATGTAGAAATCACACTATTGTGTAGATGCTTAATGATTGGCTTCCTGTCTTCTTTTCCACTGCACCAGAAATCTTACTGACTTTGTTCATGTACAAGATGCTGGACATTGTAAATTTATGCAGTTTTTCTTACAATTTACAGAGTTTTTTGAACCAGCTGGGTAAGACTAAATGAGATTAGACTGCAGCTGAAACTCAGTACAAATACAACAGAAAATCCAGTCAATATTCAGCTTGTTCTTCTATGGATTGAACAGTGAAAAAATCAAGAAGCAGAACTTGATGGAGATTCAAAAAATCATTTGTTGCTAGTCTTTGAATGACTTGAGAGAAGAGCAAAAATTATCCACGGATATGTTTTCTGGCAACATTAAAAAAACTTCTCTTTAACTGAAGAGATTCTCTTATTGACTGAAATTCCAGCAACTTGAGATTTTCCTATTATTAATGTGTGTGTTTGCAGAGTTGTTATTGTTACCAACATTCTAATTTTGCAAGTAATTGATTCTTGTTCACTGGAGTAATTTGGGAATTAAACCAAAGCTTTTCTGTTAGCTAACTAAATTTCACACGATAGGAGACCGCTTTTAAAAATCCTGGAGAAAGAAACTGTGTGAGTAAATAGTCTATCATCTCATTTATTACCTCCTAAAGAGTCACATATACCAGCTTAGCAGTGATCAAAATTTATCAAAACAAGTGTTTTACTGAATGGTGTGAAATGACTAGCACTCTTAGCTTGAGGAGTTTCTGCTCTTTGTCCCCTGGTTCAGTTTCATGTAGAGGCCAGTAATATGTAGACATATAAGATTTTCCCACTTTCAGAAGGATCTGAAATATACTGTTAGGACAGAGATAAAAATGTAGTACTTTTTTTGGGGGGGTGTTGGGTCTCCAGAGCAAATTATTCATCAGCAATAATAGCATTACCAGGAAAGGAGGTGAAAGAATTTTCACTGTATGAAGATGTTCCAAAATTGGAAAGAAAAAGCAGAAAATAAACATTTAGATGAATATTTCCATCTGAAAAGGATCAGTAGTTAAGGGACTGTGGAATGTGAGAGAATTTTTAAGGTGGCAGAGAAAGTATTTGATTATTTGCAGATTATATCTAGTGTAGGAGTTGAGGTAGGAAATAGTATTAGGATTATTATGAAGCACCTGCTTCATAGGAAGGAAACTAAAATCTTAACAGTATTCAGCATAAACAAGTGTACATGGTATTTACACTGAAGAAAACCTCTTCAATCCTTACGTATGATCAAATAAAGTTATAAAAGTTGTTCAAGAAATCTGATAGGCCCTTACTATAAAGCTTCTTCAGTATCTTTTTTTTTCCTTCCAAAAGCATCATCGTGTGATCAAGAACTGCAGTCAGCCCTGGAGGAGGCTAAGCAACCCCAGAAAGATAATGTGTTCATTCCAGAATGTGCTCAGGGTGGTCTTTACAAACCAGTGCAGTGCCATCCTTCCACAGGCTACTGCTGGTGTGTTCTCGTTGATACAGGACGTCCTATCCCGGGTACATCAACAAGGTAAGGGAATGTTCAGCGCTTAAACCTTTAATGAGAAGATGGAGAAGATGCCTAAATGTGCATGGACTAGCATGTAGATTTCCATTACTAGTGGAATTATATCATGTAGATATATTCCTTCAGGAAAATGAAGTGAAATAATTCTAAGATCCATCAAAAGTAAGGCCAGATGGCCAAAGACCAATGCTACAGACAATATGGTCCCCTAGTCCTGTTTTTTTTTTTTTTTTTTCATCTATTTTATGGTGATTAAACCAATGCTTGAAGCAGCCCAGAGAAAACCTCACACTTCATAGCCTCAACATACAAGAACCAAGAAAGATGGTCTATGACAGAAACCATGTCCAACCTCAGAAATGCTCAGTTATTTTTCCAGCAACTTCCTCAGCTATTTCATATGACTTGCTTTGGTGGAACAATTGCCTGGAAACCCATAGAACGGAAATATCATTTTAGTGTGTTACTAATAGAAGCTTTAGGAGTTCAGTCATCTCAGCTGAGCCGGATGCACGGTAGTGTTGTAAGCCACATTGAGCAGATGTAGGCAAGGCAAATATCAGATTCCAAAGGATGTTATTTGGGCTGGTTATTGAGGTTTGGCCCTCACAGGAATGCTATAAAAGCCCATATAAAGCTGGCAGGAAGTATGGGTATCTTGATGCAATCATAAACCATCTAAAACTTAAGCAGAAACCATTTTTGATCATTCGCCTAGTGTTTATGAAAGATATTCTAAACCCCTTGCTGTAATGTATATTCTTGTGATGCAGTTTTCATGTAGTCTTCAAGTGCTGATTGAGTGATAGCTGTTTATACCATAGTCTATACCAATTAAAGTAATAGATGGAATGAACGTGACTTTATCAGTGATCTGTTTCTGGCAAGCTGAGGTCCATAGGTTGTCAAAACTAAGTATTACAAATTTGGTCCTGAAATCCAGGATCAGTACTGAGACTTCAAATGTTCTTTTTCTTCTCTTCCTTTGTTCTCCACCCCTAAGTTTCTTTTCTCTTTCTTGTATTTAGTGATAATCCTTCACTGAATGATAATTTAAATCATTTTGTAGAGCCTTAGTTCTCATTTTCTAAATTAAGTCCAAATCATCTTGTTCTGGTGAAGCAATAGGATTTCCACTTTTTAGTTCTCTGTATGACTGTCATTTTATTACAGAATAGATAGCTTGGATTGGAAGGAACATCTGGAAATTGTCTTGTACCAGCTCACTGCTCAAATCAGGGTCAGCTAGAGCAGGTTGCTAAGACCCATATCCACTTGGGCTTTTAATATTTTCAGTAGACTCCACAGCTTGTCTGGACAACTGTACCAGTGTTTCATCAGCCTCACATCTTTAAAAGGGGAAAAAAAAAAAAAAAGAATTAACTCCCTTACATTTAAATGGAATTTCCAGTTTGTGCCCATTGCCTATTCACTGGACATCATTGAAAAGAGTCTACTTTCTCATGATCAGATGTGTATACACATTGATAACATCTTCTCTGGGCCTTCTCTTCTCCTGACAGTACAGTCTCTGAACAGGCTTACTCAGTCTCTCCTTATTATGTCAAATGCTCCATTCCTCTACCATTTTCATTACCCTTTTCTTGATCCAAGCCAATATGTGTATGTCTCTCACGTTCTGGGACCCAGGGCTGGATCCATTGGTTAGCAGAAAGAAAGATCACTCCCTTGGCTTTCTGGTAATACTTTTTCTAATGTAGCCCAGAAGGCTGATGGGCTTTTTTGATGCAGGGGCACATTGCTGTCTTATACTCAGTTTAACACTGAACAGAAATACCAGGTCCTTTCTGCAAAGCTGTAATTTAAGTGGTTCGCCCTAGGCTTTGCTGTGTCATGGGGTTTTTCCTTCTTGAGTAATGGAATTTTACATTTCCTTTTGATTAACTTTGTGATACTCCTGTTAGCCAGTTTCTCTAGCTTGTCGAGGTTTCCCTGAATGACAGAACGCACTTGGTGTACCAGCCACTTTCCGGTTTTGTATAATTAGAAAACTTGCTAAATGTCTACTCTAATCATTACTGAAGAGATAAACAAAAGTGGCTCTGTTATTGAACCCTAGAGCACACAGCTGGTGACTGGATCCCAGCTGGAATTTCTCTGTCTGGCCATAATACTTCGAGCCTGGCAGTTGATCCAGGTTTCAGTCCACCCCACTGTTCATTAATCTAGTCCACGTCAGTTTGTTTATGACAATATTACAGTCATAGTGTCAAAAACCTCACTAAAGTTAAGATTAACAATGTCTACTGCTCTTCCCTCATCTGCTGAGCAAGTCTTTCCCTCTATAATGAGGAGTGCAGTGTTGGACAAGCAGTAAAATGCCCAAGAAGTAAATAAAAATGTAATATAAAGCTGGCTTTTATGAAAGCCTAGAGAGGATATCCATTTGTCTAAAATGAAGTAATACATGTAAAGGGTACAAACAACAATCTCCCTAAAAGTCTTATCAGAATGGCCTCTTCCATCTTGCTTCTAGCGCTTTCTGGACATAGAGCGTGATTGTCAACCCTTTTACTCAGCAAGGCCATGACTTTGTTTTCTTACCTGTGACTTTGAGCAGCTAGGATCATAGGCAAAATAATCTTCCGTCCATTCACACATGATTCTCTAGGATAAGGTGCTTTATGAGTTTGCCCAGTGTGGAGAATTCCTGTGAAACTCTCTATCCTCCAGTACTACGTACACCTCTAAGCCTCCAAGCAGGCTGCTCAGGGATATAAAGCAGCCTTTATGAAGCCATTGATGACTCTTGATACACGCTCAGTGTAAGGTGTTTTCTTTTTCTTTTTTTCTCTCTTTAAAAGTTCTTGAAGAGTAAATTGGGGTCTTTTGACTACATTATTTTTAACCTGACAGTACTCCATTCTGACATGCTATCTCTTTCCCAATGAAAACTGAGGCAAGTGTGTTTTACTTATCAGTTCCTAGTGTGACTGTGTCATCATGGCAAATTTCTCATGATTCACTTTATCTTTCTTGAGTTGCTTTAAAGAGTTAAAAGTATGCTTCTCATATTACAACATTTTAACAGCTATTGGGATTTAATAGATTTAGCTCGTATGCGACGAGCTACATCTGTATTTAACAAAAATATAAGGTGAAGGGGTAGAAGAAAAGAGGTGAGACAAGAAAGTGTAGGCAGTAACAATAACAGAAGTAGATGAGGAGAATGCATAGTCAGGTATCAGATTAATCAGGAGCCAGGCTGGTTGCCAGATACTGCATTAGTGCATATTGCTCAGAGATTTCCCTTTCACTCTTTTTAGCTGATTGAAGTCAGCATCCATCAGGTCTCTAAATCCTAGTCATGCTATCAAAGCAGCTTCTATTCTTGTTGTTCCTGTACCTCTCCCATGTCTGTGAAACAATACTGTACATTCTTGAAGTAGCCAAAATTAGGTGGACCAGTGGGCAACTTCATCAGATGATGTGAAAATAAATTATGCACTCAAAGGAAGAAAAGAATATATTTTTCTCTATCCTGGCTTGTAACTAAAGTCTGAACACTTGCATATTGTTCCTTGGGGCAGTCTAGCCTGAACTCAGGACACAGCCACCATTCAATGCTCTTAAAAAGAATATTTAGTACCAAAAATCTGAATTAGTATATTTAGACTAGACATTTTAGTATTTAGTATGTTCCTCAGTAAATCTGATTTTTGGGAAGCTAGAACAGAGCATTTCAAAGATGAGCAGTCAAACAGGATACGAAAGAACCTAGATTCAATTAACATGTATGAGCACGCATACATACGTGTACACAAGTCACATTACTGTGTTTAACTTAGAGTTGAAATTTCTCTTAAATGATATACACTGGATTCTGCAGCTTCAATTTACTGTAGATGAATGAAAAAACAACATTTCTCAGAAGGAGATAGTGCCAAACTGAGTGAAAAGCCACCAAGAGTTAATCATGGGATTGTAAGAAGCAAAAAAATTCAGCAGCAGATGTTGCCATGCTTCCAGTCTTGCTTGAAAGATATTGCAGTGGTGTTGCTCTAGTCACTATTTTTTGAAGGTACAAATAGCGTAGGGTTTCTTGTTACAGACTGGACTAACAATCTGGCTTTAAGTAAATTTATCAGAAAGAAGAACCCAAATATTCATGAAGCAGGTGGAAATGAAATTTTTTTCCGCAACTCATTTCAATCTATTCCAGCCCAATTCCCGTCCTTCCAGAATCCTGAACAGTTCTTCCCTCGTTTGAAATGCTAGCTTAGCTGTTCCTGGTTAGCTCTTCATACATAAACTAACATTTGCTTTGGAGAGGATACAGTAGTAAATGCATTTAGTGCTGCAGTATTAACTAAATACAGTACCTGCTTTGCTGTGATTTTTGAAGTTGCTTTTGTGGTGTTTCACAACATGAGTACTGTGTCAGATGCCAGAATTTGTTACGTTGTTTATAGCTTTTTGATCTGGTAGGCTTGAGGAGAGCCTCACTTTTAAAATTTTTTTTTAGACTAAATTTTTTATTATGGATTTTTTTTATAGCAGTTCTCCACAGTTTTCTCCTTCCTTGGTTTTCCTCCCTGTAGAACGATCTGTTTGGAATCGATAATAATTATTCAGATTCCCTTCAGTAAGTGGAAAATAAGCAGATAAATTTGCATTGCCTCTTCTGAATGAGAAATCACTTTTTTCCCTGAACAAAAGAAGGTACAAGTTTAATTGGAATTTAGTATTGAAAATTATTGGTAAATTAATTTAAACTTGGCTGTTTTATTTTCTTCATGTTTGTTCTTTAGGTATGAACAACCTAAATGTGATAACAGTGCCAGAGCTCACCAAACCAAAACAAAGGATTTGTACAAAGGACGACAGCTTCAAGGTCAGTGGAACAGATAAACACAGCATCGTGCATTCCAGTTCTTTGTCACTGCAATAACTTAGAAAGCAATTCATTACCTTGTACCTAAACAGTATATCTCTTAGATATTCATGCATTGATTTGCAACTAAATGAAGCATTTGGCTTTGAAACAGTATGAATAAATATGGATCTTAAGATGTTGTCAGAGAAAGCAAGGTGCATTTTTTTTCAGTGGTTATGATGCTGTTACTGAAACTGGCAGTTTTTCTTACTTATACTATGCCAAGAAGTGATCAAAATCCTTGGTAAATTGGTCTCTATCTTCAGATCAGTGTAAAAAATGTATCGACTTACTGTTTTCCAAGAGTAACCTTCAGTTTACCTTAGAAAAATATTAATTCTTCTAGGGTGTTGAAATAAACTTTGGTGCTTATCAGATTTTTTATTTCCCCCCCCTCCCCCCCCCACCTTTTTATAAGAGCGTGAGAGATCATATTTCTGGGTAGCTGAGCTACATAGCAGTCAGATTTGCTTTATTTTTGGATTGGTCTTTTAAGGCATGTAAATAACAAAGTACAGCCCATTTCAGTGATAATGCCTAGGCAATGGGAAAATTATGAATCACTGCCATCTGTATTAAAGAATCAGAAACAAGCAAGTGATTTGAGCAGGTGTTCTGTGTTATGAGAAATATTTTAGTTTATTACTGAGAGAAATGTGTACACAATAATTCTGAATTAAACATGTCCATCAGTGTTGAAATTTGTCTTGAATGAAGCAGGCATTAATGTTCTGTCATGAAACAAATGCATTTAAGAGGGATAATATAAAAAGTAAGAAATGTGAATGATATGTTATTATTCCATACGTAATTTTATCGTGTTTCACATAGAAAGAGGTCAATCATAGCATTAACAATAAGCTGTACAATTACAATGGATGTAGAAGTGTGACCCCAAAACATACCTGTCTGGGTATGATGGGACATAAAGACAGGAACACACATTCTAGACAGACAAGGAAACATTCATGCAATTTTAGATGGACCTATTTTTTTCTTAATTTTTCCAGAACCATGGGTGTTATTCTGGTCATCCATGTTCAGGGAAAATAGATGCACACAGGAGAAATAAGCTATCTAGGTACAGCACTATAAATCATGGAAAAGAGAAGGTAACTAGTATTTGCTTCACTTAGACAAACAAGATAAGAGCCAGAGGAGATACTATTCCTCTGGGACCATAAGAGAAGCAGAATAGTTTTCCTCAGGAACAGCTTTGGTACGAAAACAAACTACCCTGAACACATCTTGCCTGGAAACTGTAAAGTGTTTTCCAGCTGTTAGAGCAGTCAGACAGCAGTCTTCTAAGGCACTAGTAATGGGGCAGAAACTCTGGTTAGGTTTCAGGTAGTCTATGGTCAGTTTATGAGAGTAATAGTAGGAAAGAGGCTGGCATGATTGAGGTACACTGCATTGTCTTTTATCACATAAGATACTGAACAGATACACTAGGAGATGAAAAACTGATTTATGCTAAAATTTAATTTTGGAGCATGACTTTCACTGCTCTTTGCAAGTTGTGTCCTTTTGGTTTCCTATGCAAAGAAAGGGGGGATGAACATGCCTGTCCAGCAATTTTGCTGTTTAGCTCTTCACAGTTCAGCAAGAGCCATGTGTGCCACATAAATCCCCATATATGTAAAATTTAGCGGTAAATACAGCTCTGTTGACAGTCAGATTTATTAAGTTTATCCATCATTTCATCAGACAGTACTTGCTTACTGAAGTTATTTACTGCTGCTTTAATTTAAAGGAAGTTAGCAGGTAGTTCAGGGATAATTTGGGATATATTTTACAGTCTGTGCTCCATGAAACCCAGTGGAAAGCTGGCCACTAATTTCTGTGGAAATTAGATCAGGCTTATGCTCACATGTACTCTGTTTGTCTCCAACAATTTCTATCAAAACAGCACTTGCATAGTTGCAGGCTTATATAATTACTTGATTTCATTTGTGTATTTTTCTGAGTGAGAAAAACTTACACTCAAAGGGAGTATAACTCAAGGAGAGAGTGAAAATTCAAGAAACAAATTTGGCACTTAGTTCTGTAAAAGATATTGCTTGTAGGTTACTTCTGCCTTTTCTCAAAAACAAAAAGCCTGAAAAAGCATTTAGCAGCTGGTTTCTAAGAGGCATAATGAGGAGCATCCAGTTTTCACACTTCTTTTTCTTATGCAAACTGGTAGTGCTTTTATACAGTGCAGTAATAAAGATTTATTCAAGTTGGGATACTTTACCAGTGAAACAATTAACAAGAATTTTCCATGCTGTAAGCTCCTTCCTGATCATTTCATAAAGTTAGGCAATGGTCTTTTGATTTTCTGTTACCACTTATGGTATTTTGTGCTATGTGAGTTTTAGTCTAGCAAACCTCTACAGCAATGTGAGCTCATAATATTATTATCTTATATATAACACAGATTTGATCTCCCAAGTTCACATTGCTTACCCACAAATTATCTTTGGCTTTCAATGCTTTATGTTGTTTTAAAATAAGACAAATACCAAAATTTCCTAAAATTTCATAAACAGTTATGAGCTAGCTAGAAAAACCTCCTTCTTCTACTCTGTGGCAGCATGGAGTAAGTGCATACCTTTAGAAGTAACGGATGGAGTAGTTTGCTTCACAGTTACAACTGTGTTAGAGGTGTTTATTGTTCTTTCTCTCTTTTAAGGTTTTCTCTTTTCTCTCTCTCATGGCTAGTCTAATAAATACTCAAGGGATAATCACTCACTTGAAAAACTTCTCTCTTACCATCATAAAAATGCAAACATTACATTAAGTAAAAATGAATTGAGTTTGTATTAGTGGAAAGAGCATCTTGGACAAATGAGACTCAGCCTTAACCAGTAACAGGTAAAGCCATACAGTTAATGCAAGTCCACTTTTCAGTAGAAATGGACCACTGTTTCTTGAAGTTTCTCTACTGTAAGCAGCGCTGTAAAGGCATGTTTCCATTTGAGTTGTCTGAAGTACAAGACCTGATTGCTGAGTGGTGCCAGAATTGAATAAAAACAAGTAAAAATAAAAACAATCTGCCCTGACTTTCAGGAGATAATAACATTTTCGACAGGATGAGTTTGCTTGATGCTTGATTTGCAGCTTATACCCACAAAATTGCAGTAGCCATAGGTGAAACCACTATGACTGCCTGCTGTGTAAAACTAGGAAGATTTTGAAACAATTATTTTATTACTATGGATGATCTTAAATAGGATAAGATCCAGTGGTACATCCTCAGGTGGATTAAATTGGCATAGTTATGCAGCTACACTGATTTATACCACCTGAAAACTCAAACTTACTACATGTTAAGCCAAATATTTTTAGCAATAATTTGCAATAAATCACAATGCAGTTTTTGGCAAACACTGATATCTTGTTAAGGCAAAATTGTAGAAAGTAAGGGCCCATTATAGTCCATGGCAAAATTCCCACTGATTTAAACTGTGCTAAGAGTATATCCTCACATCCCGAGGGTAACATAATATAAAGCATCTGACATTGAAGGCTAATCTAATGTTTTTAAGAATGATCCAAGCCACCTGTATCTGTTAGATTGGACTGGAGGTTATATAATAATAATTCTTCCCATAAGGTTTCTAGTCCTTTTTTTTTTTTTTTTTTTTTTTTTTTTTTTTTTTTTTTAAGGCCAAAGCATTTTTCTGAGGTTACTTGTGGTTTTGGTCCTGCTTAGAAACCAGTTATTCTGAGATAATGAAAATGAACCCAAAAAGGAGTCCAGTGAATGTCGCAAACTAGGGAAAGTAGATTTTTTCCTTTCTCACAGAGAGAGTTTTCAAACATTCCTATTTTGACCTTTTGTTCACCACTGTGTTATACAGTAAAATGGAAGCCCAGTGATGAACTGACATAGTCTTCTGTAGTGCCTTGAATGCTTTATTTCAGACTTTTGCATAACTGGCATGTTAAAATGAAATTGAGTTTTCTGCACAAGCCAGTTGCAAATATTTAAAAGGGTAAAGCATGAAGGCTAGTTAAAGCTAACCCTGTGGATGATTGAATGAGGTATAGGTGCCACTGTGTCTTTCACAAAGTCATTAATCATTGCTCAGGAAATATTAGTTCTTGGATCTGTATCTTTTCAGTCTGGGTCTATGGGCGAAAGAATTATACGTATTATATAGCTTTTAATAGGTCAGAATAATCTCAGAGAAGCATCATTTTAGTGACTATGTGAGGCTGATGATTTTTTCAGAGAAAAAAATCAAAAAAATATTTTAAAATATTTTTAAAATTTACTTTAGATCATCTGGTATTTAATTTCTCTACTGAATTTAGTAATGTGATGCACTCGCTAGAGAGAAGACATTGGGTATTGCCAGAAAATAAGGAAAATCCTGATATAAATTTCATGTAAAACTACCTATGAGACTTTCCTGTGTGTATGGGGTGGTCGCTCCTAGGGCACAGAAGGGGATTGCATATATTGGGAGTTATAATATATGTTGCTATTTATTTCAAAATTCTTAATAATACATTTCCTAATCCAGTCATTCTATCAAACTTTGCAGTTCCCTGGGATTCAATGGGCACGTAAGTTCCATGTAGGCTGCTTATTCCAAAATAAAGTTTGCCTCAAATTAGAAAAGCGCACAACTAAATTAGGCAGAAGTGTAATACAGCATATGTTACATACATAACATATTTCAGAGTTTTCTTCACTAACTGCTAAGGATCTGTCTGTATCCAGCAGGGAAGTCTTGAATCTTTGAGACTGTGCTCATGACTGCTGCTGTATGTCAGGATGGTGTGGGCTCCACAGCTGATCAGCACCACTCCTGACTGTAACCAGGCTTTGCAGAAGGCAGTTCCAAAGAGAACAAAGAGAGATTTGTGAGGTCAACTAGGTTGTAAGAAGTGCAATTCTCAAATCTTCCAAGCCCTCATAGAGGGACCTTAGATCAGTAGTCTGCAAATTTTGTTTGCCCCTGTCA